CCCTCCCGCGCTAGCCTAAGGGCCACCTTAGCAAAGCGCATCCCAGGCTGCATAGCCGCACTACCCTACCCAACCATACCACACATAAACATGACACTACCCCCGGGGTTTACACAGACGAGCCGGCGAAGCAAGAAGAGCGCCAGAAGAAAGGGCCCTAGCCGGCGGGGCCCAGCCAGGACAAAAGGAGGTCCCACAAAGCGCCTACACCGGCCGCATTTGCGGTCGGGGTAGACGACGGATGGGGCCCTCCTACGAAGGCTGTCCAGGCCTACACGAGATGAGGCAGGATAAAGAGGGATAATCCCCCTCGATCCCAAATCATTGAGGCCAATTTCTAGCGCGAATTAAAATACATATAGCTAGTTTAGTTGTATGTGAGTTTATTCAAATCTATAAATTCTAGAAAACTATTGGCTTTATGTATTTAAATTAATGATTTTGTTTAAATTTTAAATATTACAAAAATATCAGATTTATGTAGCGGTGCTTAAATTCTGCATTGAACTATGAATTTCAGAACGTACTATTGGGTCATTATTTTTTTTTTCAACATAACCTCATTTGGATTTGGACATATGTGACCGTCAAAATGGTGGTAAATCGGTGTTATTTATGTTATTAATTATTAATTCAAAGACAAATGTGCCTCTAATAATAGTAGTAACTTTAATAGTTAAATGCTATAATTTTGTTTGCATGTTTTATTGGTAAAATTAATTAAAAATCTTTATAAATCATTGATTTCGAATTTACCTCATAAATAATATTCCTTATTTCTATAGTTATTAGTGCGTTTCGGGTGGTTATTTAAACGAAGTCAAATATTCGATCTCTTTTTAAATAAAATGTCTACGTCCTTGTGTAAGACTTCAGTATTGCGGATTTACCAAGAAGTGATAGATGATGTTATATCAGGTGTTCGAGAACTGTTCCTAGAAGATGGGGTGGATGAGCAAGTGTTACAAGAACTAAAACAAACTTGGGAAACTAAGTTAATGAGCAGTAAAGCTGTACAGAATGAGCAGGAAGAAAAAGTTACTAAGGCAGAACATGTTGCAAGCAATGGTTTTCCTAAGGTGGTAAATAAGCTACAAGCGGTATCACAACAGCCACAGCAACAATTACAACCACAAATATCACAAATTGTTGAAACCAAATTAGTACCGATTCAAATTACATTACCTCCTCAACCTGGCACTGACGGAGCTCAGAGGGTACTAACAATACAAGTACCAGCCACTGCCTTACAAGGAAATCAGTTGCATAGGGTTCTAACAGGACCAGTAATCACTGCAACAATGGGTTTACCACCAAATATTGCCTCAACACTTCTTCAACAGCATGTCAATGCAGCCTTTAATAGTCAACAGCAAGCTGTTACAAGTGTAATACAAGCTGATGGTGCAAAGGACGATGACTCTGATGAAGAAATAACCATAGAAATAATTATGTCAAATAACGCAAAGAAGCGAAAAGGTTAGTTATTTTTGTTTTCAGTAATGAAAAATCTATGTACCGACATATTGAAAAATGGCTTTAATTCATTGAATTTTTAGTTTTTTTTTGCATTGTTCATATAATTGTAATTCTTTATTAGCTTATTTCATATTCTACTTGCTTAAAATTTTTCAATATTTAGTATTTAAGAGGCTGTGATTAAATATATTATTGAATATATCACATATTGTTTACTAGTTGAAAGTATAATTAAATAATGTTAATATAAAAATAACATAGTTCTGCTATTACATTATCATGAAGAAAATGATTTAAACGGAACAAAGCTCGAAACAAAGATAAGGTTATTTTTAGTAACAAGTATTTGAATTGTGTGTAACAGATAAAGAGAAATGATTAATTGGTCATAACTATTTATTTTCTGTTATACTGACTTAGTTTTGATTTAAATTGGCAGTCATAGTTTTTTAATACATTTTATAGCTAGTGGATTTCTTTTAGATTCCAAAGAAAAGAAAACCAAGAAAAATAAACACAATCTGATTCAGACTGATGGACCTATGGATACCTCAGATGAAGATGAAGATGGTTCTGACGATGACAATGATGATGACGACTTAGATGATGATAAAGATGAGGACGATCAGGAAATGGAAGACGAAGGAGGAGAAGAAGAGCCATTGAATTCAGAAGATGATGTTACAGACGACGATCCGACCGATCTGTTTGATACTGATAACATTGTAGTGTGCCAGTATGATAAAATTATTAGAAACCGCAACAAATGGAAGTTCTATTTAAAAGATGGTATAATGAATTTAAATGGTCAGGATTATGTCTTCCAAAAAGCAAATGGCGATGCTGAGTGGTAAACCGATCACTAACAATTACAAAGACTTATTCGACAAAGCAAAAATAAAGTTTACTTGCTCGTTATGTTCTATTTTTTTTTAGAGCCTCGTCATATATGCAGTTAATTTATTTTGTACATAAGTTGTTCTTTTAAAGTTTCTTGTATTTGTATGTTAACATGTAATAACCAATATAGAATTTATTGTGAACCGAGCACATTTATCTCTTGGACTTAAATAATTGAGATTCTGCAGAGGAAATTTATGAAACCATGTTAGTTAAGTATCTACAAAACAAAATTGTTTTACAAAAATATAGTATTTATATTCCTACTACCTTTTATTTAAGTGAATGAAGTGGGATACCTATTCGAATATGTATAGGGTGTCCAAATATTTCATGTATATGGAGCTACCGCAGTTTCCTATGATAAAAATAAGAAATTTAACTAAAGCTCACCTCTATTCTAAGTTACTTCGTTTAGGTGTTGGAAGGCATAAATGTTTTCTTTCAGAGAACTTCATGCTTCTATTTTTTTAGTCTTTTGTTAAAAATTATCCCATCTTGTAAAATTTCTGTATTTGTAATAGTTTTGGGTTAATCAATTTCTGTTTATTAGGTCAAAAGTAACTTATTTGATCAGAAACAAAATAACTTGTAATAGACTACTCTTGCATAAACACTGTTCAAAATGACCACCGTTCTATAATACATAAATTCTATGTGAAAAATTAAAATGTGCTCTTCTTGGTATTCCTTCATCCTGTAAATTCTGAACAGCATCTTTAATCCTGCTCCACAATTGTCCCTCACTATCAATACTCATTGAGTCCACATGCTGTTTTAAGGCCCTTAAAATAAAGAAATCACAGGAATTTAAGTCAGCTGAACGTGGTGGCCAGTGGAGCATCAATCCCCTGCCTATCTACCTGCCTGGGTACCAATCATTTGAATAGTGACTAACATCGCGATTAAAGTGTGTTGGTGCATGATTTGGTAATCTAATAGGATCAAGCAGAAAGTTAAAACCAGTTAAGATAAAACCAGTTTATACATTTATAATAAATGTCTTTCTATAACGACAAGTGGATTTTCGTCTGCGTAAACATGCTGGTTACGGAACAATTTTCTTGTGGAAGCTTATATCTCCAGCTTTGTATTGGTGAATAATTTGCGAGAATTGAAGATGAGGGCAGAATCAAGAGGTAGAACGTATTGAACTGAACTGAACGTGAAAAGGATGAATGATTGGAGATTACTCTGTTCACTGTACTTTTGAAAGCTTTATAGTCTGCCTCTGTATTAATTGGACACTTCTTGCCTGGTTCTCTTCCACCATTTCTAAAATTTCTTTTTTCATAATGGATGTCCGAGCTTGACGAGGATGTCTGGCATTACCTCTGTTTATTTTAAACTGACCACTTTCTGAAAAACATTTTTTAATATTTCTGAAAGTTTGATGACTTGAGATTGAACAATTCGGATATCTTTCATGACACACGTGCATAGCTCTAGGACAGTTTCCTTCACATAATCCTAGAAGTTATCGGTTCGTTTGTTATTTTATTGAAAATAATAATTATAACCTATGGTAGCTTACTATGTTTTTTTTTTCAAACAAAAGTACAATACAAAAAAATATTTTTTACTTTCAATCAGTAATTTCGTTTGTTATGAAATTATTTAAAGTTTGAATCGAAAATGTATTAGTAGTGATTTGATACAAAAAATTAACTAACCCAAAACTATTATAAACACAAAAAAATTACAAGAGGGGAAAATTTTGAAAACCCTTCACCAGAAAAATAAAAATAGAAACCATGGTACAATTCCCGACAAAATTATGTGGAGATTTTTCACAGCTCTGTTTGTCAGTTTCGATGCCTAGTGACTAAACAAAGCTACTTAGGACAGAGGTAAGTTTAGTTAAATCCCCTATTTTGATTACAGAAAAGTGTGGTACACGGAATATTGGGGCACCCTGTGTAGGTACTCTTTTTTGGTATGCTAACGTAATAATAGGAATTTTATACTATTTTTTTCTTATTAAACTTTTGAATTTTATCTGTTTCTATGCATATGCAGGGTATTAAACAAGTTCGTCAACATACATTAAGCAGTAACACCGACTAACGCCACACTAGAGGTTGGAAAAAGGTAATTGTTGGGAATTTTCCAGGAAAAATCAATACAAGATATAAATGAGGAATAAAAAAGCTTTAGTACATCTTTTCAGGTAGTATTGTTAATTTTTTCAAACCATTTGGATTCAAAATGGCGGCTGTAGTGGATGGCAAGCAATGACACCTTTTTTTCAGAGGCCAGAAGAGCTTCTTATTAACGGATGGTCTTGGAACAAAAAAACAAAAATTTTATGATATTACAGGGTGTTTCAGGATAAAGTCGACAAACGTTGAAGACGTGTTCCTCTGAACAAAATAAATAAAAAAATGTATATAAACATATAGACCGTGAGCTGGCGTACATGAGTGTGGCGTCATTGAAAAATGTCTGGCATTTTGAGGTCTGAAAAAGGTAAGTTAGTTAATGAAAATTAGGGTGGTTTTAAGGGCCGACCTATGTTTGAAAACTTTGAAAATTAATTTTCTTTTGCATAAAACAATTAGTTTTTCACTCATCTTAAGGTGTCTGGCAGTTGATGCAAAAATAGACATTAATAAGTCCTAACAATTTTCGAATGCCAGACGGTTTTAAATAGCCGAAAGGGTGGTTCATAAGGGTGAACTTTCAAGAAAAAAAATTCATCGTTTACTTTTTGTCTGGCAATCGAAACAATGAAAATTTTTGTTATGAAAATGATAAAAATAAATTGCTAGATGGTTTCCAATGTTCCGAGTCGAGTTTCTCAGTGAAAAATTATGTGAACATTTTTAACATTTTTCAGTGATCATTTGTCTGGTATCTCGGGTATTTAAAATTAATACCCATATTTCTGTCACAAAAAATTTGCCAGACAAATTGGAAAATGGAAAAATTGTGCCAGACAAAAGAAAATTCGTAAAAAATATATTAAAGTTTAAATGATTTATTTTTGTCTGGCATTTTGAATTTCAATTAGAAATACGTGTATGAACACAATATACAAATGCCAGACAAGTTGAGATGTTCGAAAATGTATAAATGAATTGAAAAGTTTCAAAAAAATTAATGAAAAATTGGTTTTCTTTTTTTTCTAATATAAACAATTTATTTTTGTCTGGCACTTTGCATTACTATTGAAAATACATATTTATACTTCAGGTTAAAACGCCAGACAAGTTGGGTTGTTGACAGTTCGCATTTGAAATAGTAACTTGGGTCTGCATATGTTTAAAAATTAAAGGTTTAAGTTACAAACTGTAAGGTGTAAAAGTGTTTTAAATACTCATTATAATCTCATTTTACGAATTTTGAAATAGGTCATCCCAGCTTTAATTTTTAAAAGGTAGTGGCGAATAAACTGTTAAAATTAATAGAAACAAGAGATTATCTAAATAAAGACAGAGCCTACTGGACCATTTTAAGAATTTAAATTTCATCTAACGAATAATTACATAAAATCGTTTTTTATTTTTTTTTCTCGATAATGGTCGCAGATACGAAAAAATCATAAGAGGCAAAAAAGTTTCTCAACAAAACATAAAATTCAATTTTGATTTTAGAATCTACCAGCGACGCACCGCACAAAAGTTCAGGGGAAGAAGAGGGGGTACGAACCCCAAAAAAATATCACCGTAGAATATCACGACTATTTGACTTGCCAAATGATGTAAGCCCTACAGCGTAACCTATATTCCAAGTTTCAGCTAAATATCTCAAAAACTGTGGGAGCTATAGAGAAAAAACTAAAAAAAAATCTTAAAATTTTAACCCCCTGTAGATCGGTAACGAAGCGTATGCGGACCTATGTTTATACGAACTTTTAGTCATGAAATAAGCCAAAGAATTGCCCCTTCCCTTATGTACATGATATTTAGGAACACCCTGTATAAATAAATAAACAGTTATAAAAAATACAATTTCTCATTTTTTTTAGACTTTTTCCCTTTATACTATAAGCTGTAATTAGTCGAGAAACATACTCAAGATAATATTTCCGATGTAAAATTTCCTTTGTTTATTCATTTATAAATTTTCGAACCAGCCAATTTGTCTGGCATTGAATAATGAATAACATTTTATAATACCACAAACACAATGGCCCTCTATTTTTAATTAAGATCACTGAAAAATGTTAAAAATTTTCACATGATTTTCCGCAGAGATACTCGACTCCGAACATTGGAAACCGTCTGGCAATTTATTTTTATCATTTTCATAACAAAAATTTTCATTGTTTCGATTGCCAGACAAAAAGTAAGCCATACATTTTTTTTTCTTGCAAGTTCACCCCTATGAACCACCCTTTCGGCTATTTAAAACCGTCTGGCATTTGAAAATTATTAGGTACTTATTAATATCTATTTTTCTATCAACTGCCAGACACTTTAAGATGAGTGAAAAACTAAATATTTTATGCAAAAGGAAATTAATTTTCCAAATTTTCGAACACGAGTCGGCGCTTAAAACCACCCCCTTATTTTCATTAACTAACTTACCTTTTTCTGACCTCAAAATGCCAGACATTTTTCGATGACGCCACACCTAGGGTCAGAAAGGCTTTGTTTTCAAGATACAGCATGTTAAAGATTCCAAAAAAAAAATGATATTTTTTTAATATTTTGCGGGTGGGTAGAAATATTTAAGTAAAATTTGGTGTGACTGCTGATCAAATAGTTTGACGCAATATGTCTCAGTAATAAGTAGGTATTATTGCAATCGGTGGTGGAGATATGGGTAGGTAGTTCAATCAATTCATTTTTTAATGTAATATTTTCTCTTGGACAAAAATGTATCGAGTGTTTCTTGTGTTTGCTACCATTTCACGGCAGGTTCAGATTATTTCACCACCTGGCCATAGTTACGGAAATATTCTAAATACATTGTTGTTCATTTCATAAACTTAGACGTTTATTATTATCAGATATGGATTGATTATCATGAACCTGATGTAACGTATTTTAGTTACATACAATTTGTAGATTTTTTTTTAGAATTTGTGTCTACTTTTATTGTTTTTGTTCTGATCATAGTTTCAAATATTTTTCTTTATTTTCTATTATTTATCTATCAATTAACATCGTGCATTTATTTTGTTTACTACAGTTACTACTACCATTTATTTATTATTGATATTCATAGTTAATATGAGTGAGCTAGAATTTTTATTATATAATGACATGCGAAGGTTCCAGTAACTTTTTTCATGTGTAATAGATAAATCTGTTTG